TGTAGTGCTGGTAAAACCATGGGCAGGAAAATTAAAATTTAATCCCATTTTATAGGAGAATATTCTACAAATTAAAGATTCTTTAATTCACAATTTTTGCTTTACTCCAAAATTCTCCTGACCGTAGAGAATGCGCATATGCAGCAGAAGAGATAGGTTCTAAAAACAGCAAAATATTCAAAAAAATAAATAAATAAATAAATAAAAAAAAATAAAAAAAAATAACCATAACTGGAAATATTCAACATAAAATTAAAACACAAGCACAAAAATTAAAAGTGAAAGTGCATTTAAATGATTTAAAAAAAATTAAAGAGGTAGAGAGAATCATTGCTTCATTGGCCTATTGTATAAAAAAAATTATAACACTAAGTAAAATGCAATGTGAATATTTTAATGCAGGCTAGCTAGCACAAATGCATGTGATTTTTGATTTTTTTTTTTTATAAAACAAATAAGGTATGTATATATTACAAACTGTGTGTAATTTATTTATTTTTTATCTTTTTTGATGTAATATTTTCACTAGATTTACATGAGGATCATCGTCAGAATATATATACTTTTTCAAACACATGGAGAGTAGAAAAAATTCATTAGGTTTTTAATTCGTTTTGGCAAATTCGCATATTGATTTTCGGCAGATACTTAGATTCCATGTTTTTTTCAGAGACTTGTCCCAATCAAACATATTCAATAAATACATTTGTTAAAAGAAGAAAAACAAACACATATTCTTTGATTTAATTTTTGTTGTTTTGCTGTTTTTTTTTTATGTCACGCGTGATGAATTCACATAAGTTAATATTCGATAAATTAATAACTTCATCTACGTAATATGGTTTCTCGGTCTCAACTTGAGGACAACGTATCAAAAAATATATACGGTAAATTAATAGAAATTTTGCTCGTCACGACCAACGGTATTAATTTGTAGAGGTTTAACTGTAGATATACGAAATGTGAAACGACCCGATTTTCACGATCATGTGGCGTTTGTATAAGATCCTACATTGCTTTGGAAGGAAACACGAGACCAATAAAAAGGGAGATTTTGTGAGATAAGTATCTTCAATATTGAGAAACAAAAAAAAAAAAAAAAAAAAAAAGAAAAAGAAAAGCTCATCACTCCCAAAAAGTAAGATATATAGATACTCCATGATCATTTTACAGTACACACACACACAGACACACAGTGCTGGTTTCTTCTATGTGTAGTTTCTTGAAAAAAAAAAAAAAAAAAAAAGAAAAATTAAAAAGAAGATATATTATCAAAAGTACCCTTTTGCACTTTAAAGAGAATCTAGTGGAGGAATCGTGACTGAGAATATATATAATGGACATTTCATTTTTGTTTTTATTTAATTTTTCTAAAGAATTATTATACATACATATATGTATATATATAATGCACGCAGGAACACACACAGTGAGTGGTGTGAAATGATGTTTGTGTTATTACATTACATGGTGAAGATGATGATGTGTCACTTTCATACATGTACTCAAAGCTTTGCATGCTTTCCCCTTTTCTTGCATGTTATGTTTAAAGCTCCTCCACCCCAAAGATTCTGGAATTTTTGTGGGCCCTCTTTTTCATATTTATACATTTATATAATTTATACAAATAAACGAATTAACGAAAAATTAAAGTGCACCGGATAAACTTTCGATCTCTTTCTCCAACAATTAATTAACTTGGATATATATTTGATCATTGGTTGTACTAAAAGAAAATTATGTTATAAGTCGGCAACACTATATATAATTTTCCTCTGCGCTTATTAACAAACGAAAACGAACATGCGGGTTCAAAAAAACTAGCAAAAGATCGAAAGACCGGCATGAATTCTTCATATATATATGTATTATATATAAGTTATTGAATATAATCGACAAAATATCTAGACGACTAGATTTACCGAAATCAGGAACAACCTGGCAAACACGTCGAAATCAAGGCACTAAATAATATTACCCTGTCAGCATTGATCTTATCAGAAAGTAGCTACATATATATATATATATATATATATATATACCAAAATAAATAAATTTATGACTTAGGTGCAAAGTTGGGTGAAAATATAAATTAGGTTAAACTTTTATGACTTTGTCACAGACTCACATATATACATACATACATACATACCTACACTGTATGTATATCTATATATATGCCTTCATTTTTATGACAGACAGACATTCCTCTCAGCAAGCAAGCTATAAGCAAATTAAATGAAATCAAAATTAAACCAAATTAATGATGACAAGAATTAATCCCAATCATTAATTATAGACGAAAGAATATATAGTTTGATCATCATTGATTTATAATAACACCCCAACCATTCGATCAGATGTTGACCCCTTCACCTAATTCAATATTACATTGGTCCATACCCCCCACCCCCCACCCCCACCCCCTTGTAAACACACACACACACACACACACACCTTTGTTACACACATATACATCCATACAGCTAATGTGATATATATATTTCTAATTTTCTGTACAGGACCACTATGAATATATCAATTGAAACAAGGGTTTTGTTTTAATTTTAATTTTAATTTTTAAATTTAAAGAAAATAAATAAATAAATATGGGATGGTGGTGTAATGAGTTTGCATGTGCAGCATGTGTACGTACGTAAAAGGGGATATATGTCAGATGAGCCTTCCATATTCATTACCTAGCTAACTAGCTCTTGGACCATTTTTTTCTGGCTTACATTTTCTTCGTCGTCAAAACCCTAATTATTGTTATTTTTTATTTAATTAATTAATGATGATTAGGGTTTGGTGATTTGTTGGTAATGATTCAAATTAAAATTTATTATTAGGGTTTTCATCCACCCCTGAATACTATTCCAGCATTACCAGCTTGTAAGTTAATGGGAAAAGTACTTATTGAAAGCGATTTATAAGATTGATTTTACTAATGTCCTAATTCAGGGCTCCTGTCGGTATATATATCATAGAAGCTGCATTCAAATTGAGTTATTTGCTCTTCAATTTTTTATTATTTTTTTTAATTATTTGAATTTGATAAGAGAAGATCAAATTTCTTTTGAGTTTATATAGTTAGGCCTCGTTTGGCTGAGGAAGTTAGCCATAATTAACTAAATAATTGGACTTTATTTGATGTTTGCTACCCTCAATAACTTGTAGGGTCGACCCGTGTGTGTGTGTGTATATATATATATAATGTTATGTTATTATGGTTTATCTTGCCTGTTAAGCATGCTTATTATAATCAATTTTATTTTGTACTCAACGAAACGAGACCTAGGTGGATTTTATCGACCAAATCCATCAAAATAGCTCAAGAATGAGTTGGAATTGAGAGTTGAGTATTTAAGAATTTCCAAACAAGTTCTAACAAAAACTCAATTATTTTATCGAACCCCTAAACATTCAACGAAAAAACTACCTAAAATGAAAGATAAGGCATAATAAACCACGATAACATAATATTTGGTGATCTCCAACAAGTTATTGGAGATACCAAACATTAAACAAAATCCAATTATTTTATTAATAATGACTAATCTCTCCGACCAATCGAGGCCTTAAATAGGATGATCCTAATCATATGCTTAGAAAACAAGCCACACAAAACTTGTGGGAGAATTACAAGCATATGTACGTAATTATCACTAATTAATTCATAATTAATATGTACAAGTTTGAGTTATGATTATGAAGTATAAAAGCATGCATGTGGCTCAAAAGCAATTCTAGACCAGCGGCTAGTGGTCTACTATCACTTTGCCAACTCCTATAAATATTGGCCCTAACTTAATTAATACGTTAATTAATTACCTTCATTAATTACTTCCCAATTAATTAATTATTTATTTCAAGAACACTAAAAGCGCACTTTGTTTCAGAACTTGCTAAAGGTGCTACTAGAAATGCACGCTTTTTGCTCTAAAAAAGGAAAACGTTATATGTATTTCTACTTGTGTCATTTCCAAAAAAAAAAAAAAAGACACTTTCTTGATAATTTTATACTACCTTTGGGTGTTATTTATTAATTTTTATATTCTTTTGAAATTTAATTAATAATTATGTTGAGTGGGAAACATTTGAGCTAAAAAATATTGATTAATTAATTAATCAATTCGTAAAATGATGGGATGATAGTTATCTATTTGGATCAAGCGCAAGAATAATTCCCATTCACTCCCCACTTCTCATCATATTTATTTTCTATTTATTTGAAATTTTATAGACTTTATAATAATATTATACTATATCCTACTTTAAAATAATTCAAGTGTGGAACTTTCCATGGTATGGCACTTGATTTTTTCCTCTTTTTATTTATTTATTTATTATATTAATTATTACGCATAAAATATCAGTTTGGCGTTATGTAGGAGGATACTGCAAAAGTGCAAATCACTAAACAGAAAAAGAAAAAAAAAAAAAGATGTATGTGTATTAATTTGTGATGAAGGGCAATTAAGTAATTTTACACGAATAATAAAAATCAAGTATTCCAATTTATTTTGTTACAATCTTAGCTGATAATCAATCTAGCACATTCGATTTTGGTTTAATTTTGGACAAATTACGGCCAGCCCCCTGATGTAAGCTCAAATTACAAATAAATCCCTCACGTTCGGATAAATTGCAATCACTCCCCCCAACTATGTATAATCTTACGAAAAACTCCTTCATTTACTAGCTAAATGTGACACCGTAAGGATGGGTGTGCAATTACCCAAATATGAGGGATTTTTTTTCGTAATTTAAACATATTTCAGGGGTCTGGCCGTAATTTGCCCTTTGATTTTTAGTGGTCCTATCTACTACTTGGTATTGCAATCATTCCCCATCCAAATTGGCAGAAGTATTAAAACTTGCACTAAATGTGCTAGTGATCATATAGAATTTTGGTACCAAAGTTTCACAATCAAAACTTTGGTATATATAATAATTATTATTTCGAGTCACTTCCATACATTCCCTAATGCCCACACAACCAACCAATCTCACATGCCTATTAATTCACAATCACAATTTACAATATACCAAAGTTTATAAATAATCAAATCATTCTAGTGAAATCAATACATTATCACAATAACAATACCCCTAGTCACAATCCACTAATTAATAATAAAAAAATATTATTTGCTCTATTTCAAGAATCGAACTACCCTAACAACGGTCACTGAGATGCTACACTGACTGGGTTGTATACATCGGGTACCCACTAAGCACACATACGCATGTATGTGTGTGTGTTTATGTGCAGATCAAAAGCTAATAATCACCCGACGTATTTCACCGACTGTAGCATCAAATAAACCCCTAACAACTAATAGTCAAAACCTAATAAACTAGAGGAAATTTTTTCAATGTACAATAGGGATTTCACCTCAATACATAAACCCTACAAGCACATGAATTAATTTCCTCACTCTAAATTAAAAACCTCTCTTTCATCCTCAATTTGTTGGAGCTTTCCTTATTGTACTAACTTTGTATCACCATTTTTTTTCATCATTGTCCATGTTAATTCTACACATATATATGTATATCCAAAAAAACTAATTGCTAACACAATTAATTAATCAGAAATTTATATATGTTTTTGAATTGAATATGGCCAATTAGAAATGGTTGATAGATGCTTTGCTTCTTCAATCCAACACCTCTCAATATCATCCGCAATGTTTTTCGAATCAATCGACGCGCCGAGAAGGCCGCGTTTGGTGAACCCCACCGCGTAAAGACCGTATTGCCCTTTCCAACCGTTCGGGAACGGCCTTCTCGGGAGGCCGTCTTTCTCCGAGAACATCTCATTTTCCTGCAAGATTACATCGAGCCAAACACGCCTTTAGCTTTCTTGATTAAGTACATTGTATTTGCTAATGTATCTACTTATAAAAAAAAAGGGACCATTTTTTGTATTAAAAAGTAGCATTATTAGTTAATTAATTAATTGTTACCTTTAGCCAACATGGTACATTGCTTTTGTAGCCAGTTGCTAGAACTATTGCATCAAAATTTTCTATACTTCCATCCACAAATTCAACTGATTGATGCCTTAGTCTCTCGATGCTTGGCCGTATCTATATATATATACATACAAAAGAGCAAACATTTTTAGTATATAGAAATTAAATAATTATTATTGCCGATTTAGAAACATGTTAATTAAAGATTAAATTTTTTTTCAATTTTCCAAGAAAAGACCAACCAAAGATGCTTAAAGCAAAAATAAAAATAAAAAAATTAATTAATAAAAATAAAAAACCTAATCTCAACCAAAAAACAAAAGAATCCCTTTTATCCCTTGTTTAATGTTTGGACAAAACTAGTGATTTTTGTCACACGGGAAAACCAAAAAAAAAAAAAAAAAAAAAACAATTTACTGTTCATCAAAGCAAATCAATGATTGATAAAAGAAAGACACTTGCAAAAAAGTATCCCTTTTTTTTTTTGTTTTTTTTTTTTTGGAAGTGATAGATGTTAGAGCAAGCAATGAGGAGTAAGTGTACCTTGATGTCACCACTTTTGATCTTGTCAAGTGTTCCGACATCCAAAACGGGTGTTTTGCCGGAGAGGCTCTTGAGCTGGAGCGGGCCGATGTCGGGTCGATCAAGCCCGAACCGACCCGTATCACCGAGTATGACCCGTGAGACCACTAACAAGAACCGGTCCACAATGCGCACGGGCAACCACTTTAGCAACCACATGGACAGCCCGAAAGTCGATCTTCCTAGCATATCTCGTGGTAGAATGTGCACCTTCATTCACCATCATAACATTCGAAAAAGCAATCAATAATACGAAAAAAATGAAAACATATTAAATAACAAAAATAAATAATGCTCAAATAAATTTTTATGAAGCAATTTTTTTGCGCATGCTTGAGTATTCCAAGAAAGTTAAAAAAACATTAAGGATATATATGTTTCTTTTTTCTGCAACTAAAGGGATGAACTTTGTGTGGGTAGTGGTCCGTTATTAATTAACTAACATATAAAAAATAAAAAAATTAACCTTTGAAACTTGTGAAAAATAATATGTTTTCTTGGGTAAAAATTAGGGTTTCTAATTTTTTTTTTTTTTTGCAAAAATATATTAATTCCCATGCAAATACATACACCACTAGTGTGTGCACCAATTCATTTAACTCTATTGAAAATCTTATTCTTTTATCACTTAAATGAAGAAAAAAAAAATCATTTTTTTTTTTTAAAAGAAAAAAAAACACAGAAACACGCAGTGGAAGGTGTAGAAAAGCTTACTGTATCCCTAACAACAAGGGAAGGATTAGAGCTGTGATTGCAGAGATCCAAACAGACTTCCATGCCGGAGTTTCCGCAACCGACGACGAGCACTTTCTTCCCTTTATACACACTCCCACTTCTGTACTCACTCGTGTGCACCATGTCGCCGCCGAACTCCTCCGCCCCTTCTATCTCCGGCACCACCGACTCCGCATTCTCCCCCGTCGCCGCTATCAGCCACCTACAAACATACTCAACTTCCCCCGCCGCCGCCGTTGTCCTCACCCTCCAGAACCCGAGTTTCTTATCAAACTCGGCGCTCGTCACCGCCCGGTCGAACACCGGCCGGATTTCGAACCGCTTGGCGTACGACTCCAGGTAGAGGATGAACTGCTGCTTGGTGGGGTACGTCGGAAAATCCGCCGGAAAAGACATGAGCGGCAGCTCGCAAAACTGCTTCGGCAGGTGGAGCTTGAGTCGGTCGTAGGTTTTCAGCTGCCACAGAGATGCTATGCAGCTGGATCTCTCTATCAACAGCGACGGCACCCCCTTCGCCTTCAGGCACGCCGCCGCCGCCAGCCCCGACGGCCCCGCTCCGACGATCACCGGACCTGGTACCCACACGCACCTTTTCGAAACCCCGAAATCTACGCTGCAGTAGGGATCGTGCGCCGCCTTCCCCTCAATTTCTCTCAGGTAATTATCCGCCATCATTATTTTCAAATCAATTAATTAAATCACCAAAAAAAAATATAGCTGAAGAACAACTATACGTATACGTGTATATACGTATATATATAGAGAGAGAGAGAGTGGTGTAATCCAAATGGGTGGGTTTTAGATAACGAGAGAGGAGTGAAAATCGGGGGAAAACAAACGTGTTGTTTGGAATTCTGGATAATTAGTCAATCCCATCGTCCGGGTTTATCTAATCTCAAAAACAGGATTCAAAATTCCCCTGAAGAAATGGGAATTGGAATGGATAATCCGGAATTTCTTATCCACGATTTTTGATTGAATCTAATCTATTTTCTTCAATCGATCGGAACAAACACCACGGAGTCTGATCAATCACCATTCACTGCTTGGCTTGTGTTTATATATATATGTGTATGTATATATGTGGTGATATTTAACACACATGTATGTATATATATTTTTGGAGGAATTGAATTTAATTGGTAGAAGGGAGAATTGAAATGAATTCACTGCGGGTGGGGTATTATATAGTGTATGTTGTGTGTGTGTGTGTGGAGATCAGGAACAGTGATTTTAAGCTGTTAAGTGATTTGAATAAACTTATATGTAAGTACTTTTTAAGTGTTGTATGTATTTAATATTTTATTATTATAAACGTGCTACCTCCAATCACATCACTGGTAGTTAGTTAATTAGTTTGTGCCGGATTTATTTTTTAATTTTTTACTGTTTTAAATTAGTCAATAAATGTGTGTATGTCAAATTAATTGAAAAATTACAGTTTTCACCCCCAAGTTTGCACGGATTACACATTTGGTCCCTATGTTTATAAAAAACACAATTAGTCCTTATGTTCATAAAAAAACACATTTGATCCCTCATGCTAAAAAAAATTAACACTTTTGATTATTTTCGTTAATTTAACGTTACTCTATCAGTTAAGTTAGTGATAAGCACATCCAATCACATCACTGGTAGTTAATTAGTTTGTGCCGAATTTATTTTAATTTTTGACTGTTTTAAATTAGTCAATAAATGTGTGTATGTCAATTTAACGGGGAAATTACGATTTTCATCCATCAAGTTTGCACGGATTACATATTTGGTCCCCATGTTCATTAAAACCACGTTTGATCCCTCATGTTTCAAAAATTTAACACTTTTGATCATTTTCGTCAATTTACCGTTACTCCATCAGTTAAGTTAGTGATAAGCACACACTTGATTCTGTTAGTACTAACGAAAAAGACTAAAAGTGTTGAATTTTTAAAACATGAGGGACCAAATGTATTTTTTATGAACATGATTGAAACCAAATGTGAAATTCGTGCAAACTTGAGGAGTATATAGTAAAATAAATTGTTGTTTGATTGAAAATCAGAAACCCGAAATCAAATGTCGGAAATTGAAATTAAAAAACGGATTTGAATCGACGGAATTCGAATTTTCTATTTTCTATAACTTATAATATGAAATACGTACTAATTTTAAGCCGTCAAAAATATTTATGATAATTAAAAATCAAATTCGAAATCTAATATGTATTCGAATTTTTCTTTTTTAAAAAAGAAAATTAAAGATCGAATTTTTCAATAAAAATACCGTTCTAAATAACAAAATAAATGTAATATTTACTATTTTCTAGGTATATCTGTTGCAGAATCTGTGCACAACAATAATGATGTGATTATACACGGATCAATGACGTCAGCATATCCGTCATAGGCGAAATTCAGGAGAAATCATTGGATGACTAATTATAGGTTATATAGTTTAAGTATTGTTAAATCAAAGATTAATTAACAACAATTAATAATTAGATTAGCGCAACGTTTATTATTAAAAAATATATTAATTAATGATTATGAATGCATGGTTGGCATTGGGTTGGACTTTTGTTTAATGGATTGGGCTGGGCAGGTATGCATTGTTCTCACTCTCTTTCATCTTTCCACTCAACACCATTACTTTTTTTTTATTTTTTAATTATTACCAAAAATCTAAAACCACTAATTATTATTATTATTAAAACCTTTTCAAATAAATATATATATATATATATATATATATATATATATATATTTTAATTATTTTTTTTTAAATCTACAAATAAACATTTACCTAAATGTGTGTGTGTGTGTGTAGAATTTGAAGTTTGAACAACATGATTGTGATTTGGATCGACCATCACTATAGATTTTTTTTTTCTCCTTTTCCATTAAATTAATTAAAACTTCAATAAATGTTTTGACAAGTATATAATTTCCATTCTTGGATCTTAGAATTTTCAATGGCAATTGACACCTATTTTTTGAAAAATGTTTTAACAATTTAATATTTAACTTACTATGTCATTTTCTTTAATTTCCTTTTCGAAATTAATGTCGTCATTAGATCCTTATCCGGGGATGGGGTTTAGATGGTCGATGAAATGCTACACCTGGTGAAAAACATCAGGTGATTTTGTATCGTAGATCAATAGTGCAGAATCACTCAGTGTATTTTATAAAACTAGGTTTCGGTAATACAACGTAGGGAATGTCGGCACAATTATATAGATAAATAAATATAAATTTGTATATATATGTATAGGAAGATCACTTTGATTTCAATAAAATTCAAAAATTGCAAATTGTTATAATATATATTTATTTAATTATTATTTTTTTGTTTAGGGTCTCTTGTGAATCCCATGGGGCAACAGAAAAAACCACTTTGTCCTTGAATAAAATGAATTTGTCCAATCCAAAATGTGTTAAGTTGTTGAATACTGTTCTCTTTATTCATTGCAATATATCTTTAATTTGGATGACACATTATTCCACATATTCATAGTATTTATTAAAAAAAATTAAAAAAATAAAGACATGATATATATTTATATATAATATATACTTTCAATAATTGGATATTTTTTCTTGACAAGACACGTTGCCCTTTAATTTAACAAGCATTATGTAAAGTTCTTGAAACTTGATCTTTTTGTTGGAGCAATGATATTATTATTTTTTTTATTAATTTAATTAGTGTCTTTGTAAGGAATGGACTTAAATGCATTATTACTTAGTAAATAATTTAATTGAAATTATGAATTTTATATATATTAATTAAAGGAGTGGTGTCCTAATTGAGGAATGATTACACATAAAAAAAAAAAAAAAAAAAGATGTTAGTGAATTTAAGATGATACAAATTTTATTCCTTGTTCCTCTCATTTGGGAACTAAGATTGAGGAGAATCTAGCATCTCTATAGTGTCTATAGGCCTATTAGGCTACTAGGTGTATATATATACACACATACATACACCACAAGTATATATATATATATACACCTCCGAGTGTGTGTAATTGAGAATGAGAAAGAAAGGGGGAAGAGGTGTAAGCCAGTTTAGTGTGTGTTTGTGTGTGTGTTAATGTTTGTGTGTGTGTGTTTTGGGCCCACTAAATTGGTGCTAGTGGCCACTCATTTCATATGGTATAACAAATTAAATTAAAAAAAAAAAAAAAAAACATCCCTTAGAAAATAAAAACAAATTAAAAAAAAAGTAGTTAAAAAGGTGATATGGGACATATTTGAAGGCTCCCTTTCATCTACCCCAACTCAAATTTAAGTAGATGGTCCATTTTCTCTTTTTTCTCGAACCCTACAAATGTTCGTTATAATTTGTTTTACGCTCTACTCGATAAAATTTATTTAATACATACAAATGTTCGTTATAATTCGTTTTACGCTCTACTCGATAAAATTTATTTAATACAGGAGAGAACATTTTTTCTTTTGGTTCCGACTCAATAGAAAGGTTCTAAATTATTAATCCAATATCACCTAATCCAATGTAATCTGATACATAGAAATAAATGAAGCCTCAGAACTTATAAGAATCTTCATTGAAGTAATAAAAAAGACAGAGAATCATAAAATGTCCCACACTAATTATGTATGAAATATTTGTAATTATTATGTCCGTGAAATAAAGTATAAAGTAATAAGGTTAAATTACGGTTATAGGATGGAGATAAAATTTATTTAATTTGAGTTTAGATATGCTTAATAGGGTCAAATCAATGGGCATATAATTTCTTTATTTAATGGGTCACGAGCCCAATATTGAAGACTACTGCCAATGAGGCCCAATCACCTTTAAGTAAGGTTTGGGCCTGACTATCTCAATCTATATATAATATAAAAAGAGAATCTATGCCCTCAATGATTGACATGTGGCAAATGATGATGTCATTTGTCAAAATTGCTTAGTTGGAGTTCAATTGATTAGGTGGATTCTTCAATTGATTAGGTGGCATTTTTATTTATGGATGTTTTTAAGTTTTTTCCTATTTTACATTTACACAATCATTTAATAATTATCACATGTATATATATATTATTTCCAAAGTTAATACTTTATAAATTCGAAATAAAAAATCTTATTTATATTTTCAGTATTTCAAAATATATTTATTCAAATAAGTTCATGAAACTCAATTGTTTTACGAATATTCAAATAATTTTCATAAAAAAAATATTTTTTTAAATACTAAAATATTAAAATAAAGGAATATGTTGTTGTTGTTGTTTTTTTTGCTTTTCTTTTTTAATTTTCAATATTTTAGAATATTCGAATATTCGTTTCATTAAAAATAATAATAAAAAAAATATTTTAGTTTTTAATTGAAGTATTTAAAAATATACACTATTTTTTATATAATTTTTATTATACCATATTTCAAATTAAAAATAATTATATTATTTAATAAATATACAATGCACGGTGGATTAATTCTAAATGCAGTAGTTGGTTGTATATTTGAAAAACACTATTTAATATATAATATGGCCCGAACTACAAACGGATTATGCATTATATTTATTAATTATTATTTCAAATAAAATATCAAATCACCATTCACCAATATAAATGAATCTTTAATATTCCAAGATTCCATCATATCATCTTTGATTGATTTAATTTATACTTTAATTCAAAATTGAATGGTAAAAAATAAAAATCGTATCTTCATATTTAATGTTTTTATATTGCAAGATTTTATTTCCACAAGTTATTATTTTTTTTTGGGTTGTTTCCTTTATTTGTTTGATTTGATTTCATTTACTAATATATAAATCTTTTGAATTTTTAATTTTTCCATAGAATTAAGTTCATTTTCAATACTATATAAACCCCTCAATGTTCATTTCATTTTTTTCTACCACCATTCGATTACAAAGTGCACAATGTTCGTATTATACAGTTTCATATTACATTTTTTTTTTATCATTTCTTATAAATTATTATAAGTATATATGCATAGTTTTATATTCATAATTAATTTTATATATACATATTAGTACTATTTGTATTTCTTTCTCTTGGGTTTTAATTTTAATATACTTTTTTTTTATTGTTTTCATGCAGTTTATTAAATAAAGTCGTGCGTACTTTATGAAGATCAAAAAAATTGTTTGCGCTCAGTCCAAACAATGTGTTCTTTGCAACGCGTATTTTGATCCTAATTTCGATCCATGTATATGCGTCTCATGTAGGGAATCAATCAAAGTCGTTCCACGCTCTGGATCTTGCATAATCTTTAACAAATTGGAATTCAATGTATTATGTTCTTATTGATGTTTTGGTTTCATTGATATTCGTTGTTACACTTAATAAAACAAATAAGTGTATACAATGTATCAACAAATTTTTGTTT